TCTTTAAGGTCTGTGGATGTATTCCTCCAAGGAAAAATTTTCACTTCTTCTTACAGTTTTCTGGGGGTACTACCAAGGACCACTTTGTGATTTTTTTTTTAAATGATAAGTCTGCATTTTTTTTTAGATTTATTTTTTTACAAGAACGGGGTATAGGCCACAGGCACGGGAGGGTGAGGGGATTCACCAGAGACAGAGCAGGGAGCAGAACAGGCAGACGACCAAAAACACTGCTGAGGGGAGCAGTGGGTGAGGCCGGAGAGGTCTGCAGCGCCATGTGGGTATCTCCCTGGCCAGCCAGGAATCGAACCTGTGCTGCAGAGGCTGTGGACAACCTCAGAGTGCTGCACTCAACCCGCTGCACCACCAGGGAGGCCCCCCATGGAACCCTTTGAAGTCTAGCTACCGCATAGGGCTTATTTGGGGCTGCAGAGATTCAGATTTGGTGCTGGCTCAGCCCCAATGGCTTTAACTTTGCTTCACCATCCCCATGGAATTTACTTTCCCAGCTCTATCTGCAGGGTGAGCAATTTTCCTGTTGAACTTCTGAGGGGTTGCTCTCTGGCTCTCCTGCCTTTTTGCATGCCCTCTGGCCACCTCTCATGCTGCTTGAGCTTTCAGCTTTGTCCCGTCCCTCACAGCAATGGCTGATTAAAATCTGGCTCAAGGTCATCAGGAATCAGCAGATACCTCCAGAGTAAATATGATCTCTAGCTCTTGTGTTTTGTGCTTTCCTAGCATTTCTGCTCCTCCTTCCCCTAGGAATTCTTACTTTCTTACCACTTCTCTGTACATTAAAATATTAAAACTTCTTTTTGGCACTTAATATGTTTTGAGCTGGAGGGAATTTCTCTAAACATCTAGTCCAGCAGATTGTTGGAAACACAAGTCCTGCTGTAAAATATCAGTGTTTTCCTTTGCAGAAATATTTCTGTGCAGATATATAATCTGTCTATATGAAAACACCACACATATTGCTTCATAACCTGTAGTTGTGTCAGTTAGCAATACATTTTGAATATCTTTTTACGTGAATAAATGTGTCCATGGTGCTGTGGGTGGGGTTGCCCTGGAAACAGACTCTGAGACAGAGATTTAAGTGCAGGAAGTTTATTCAGGAGTGCTCTTAAGAGCTTCACCATAGGAAGGGAATAAAGTAGGATTAGACAGAGGGGGTTAGGCACCATGTAGCAGTCGCATGGACTCCAGATCTGGAGCTGGGAAGGCCCTGCAGTTATCCCAAATTGAAGGAAGAAAGCTGAGCCTTAGGCCTCCCTGGTAGCTCAAGGGGTTAAGTCTCAACACTATGACTATCACCAGCCACAGCAGCACGAGTTCCATCCCAGGCCAGGGAGCTACCCACATGGCGCAGCAGACCTCTCCTGACTCCCCGCTGCTCCCCTCAGCAGGGTATTTTAGTAGATCCACCTGTTCTGTTCCCTCTGTCTCTGGTGAATCCTCTTACCCCCCCCACACCTCTGGCCTACACCCCAGCTCTTGTATGCAAAAATAAATAAATCTTTACAAAAGAAAGAAAGAAAGAGGGCCTCCCCTGGTGGCGCAGTGGTTGAGCGCTGGTCTGCAAAGCTGCCCGCAGCCTCTCCTGCCGCTCACTGCTCCCTTCAGCAGTGTATTATCAGTCTGCCTGTTCTGTTCCTTCTTCTGGCTCTGGTGAATTCTCTCACCCTCCCGCACATCTGGGCTGTACCCCAGTTCTTGTATAAACAAATAAATAAATCCAAAAAAAAAAAAAAGGCAAGCAAGCAAGCTGAGCCTTATACTCCTTTGGAGTGTGAAGTAGGCTGCCTCCCAGGAAGGGGATGTGACAAAGGGCAAGGTAGCCATCTTCAACTGCATACAATTCATGGTGATAGCTGGCAGATGAAGGCTGTCAGCCTGTAGCTCTCCCAGATGCAGGAGTCCCAAGGGGGCAATGGAGCACATCAGTTTTGACCACAGTTAGGAATACTTTGGGCTTCAAATAACAGGAAATCCAACCAACACTTGCTTAACAAATAGTTAATTTGACTAATAATTAACACAAACTATTTTTGTAATAAGTCTAATTATTCAAATTTAATAATTAGTTTTTCTCACTTAATGTAAGGTCTGCAGGAGATGATTGCTCACATTAACATCTTTCCTATTCATCAGGAAAGAAAGAGACTTTCCCAAAAGCCCCCAGGAGACTTCTTATATCTCGTTGACCAGAACTGGATCACATAGCCACTCGTAGGTGCAAGGGAACTGGGAAAGTGGGAATAGGATTGTCATAATTTTGTGCCTGGGCAGTGACCATCGCTGCCCTGAACAGTATCTGGGTTCTGTTAGCTCAGAAGACGGGAAAGGACATTAGACATCCAACTAACAGCCTGCCACAAATAGACCTTGGTGAAATTATTTTGAATAGTTGGATGTGGACATAACTTGCTGAAACAGTCCCCATATTGCTGGACACTTGAGTATACCCAACCAGTTGCTGTATCCACTGGGCTGCCATGAACATCCTTGCCTACTCATTTCCTCAATTATTTCCTCAGGATGAAATGCCTTTCTCAGGACTTTGACGCAGATCAAGACATACCTGAGAAAGGCTGTACAAATTTATACTTCCAGGGGCAGTGAGTGCAAAGACCTCATTCCCCAGGATCATCACAGACACTGGATATTAACATTCTTATTATTTTCTTTTTTTTTTTCATGAAGATTTATTTATTCGTACATACAAGAACCAGGATACAAGTCAGACTCGTGGGAGGGTGAGAGGATTCACCAGAGACAGAGTGGGGAGCAAAACAGGCAGACTGATGAAATACACTGCTGAGGGGAGCAGTGGGCGAGACAGGAGAGGTCTGCCGCGCCATGTGGGTTTCTCGCAGGCCAGCCAGGATTGAACCCACGCTGCAGAGGCTGCGGACAGCTTCACAGTGCGGCGCTCAACTGCCTGCACCACCAGGGGAGGTCCCATTCTTGTTATTTTCATCAGATTTATATTCTTAAAAAAGTACTTTGTTTTAATTTGCATTTTTGATTACTTTGTATTCATCGTATCTGTTTATTTTTTTGAATTGTGGCCCCCAAATGGGCTTGCTTGGTTTTAGCATTTTGGAAATTATTGAGAGATCTTTAGTGTCTTGCTCTATTGTGAGGAAGAGGTTAGTCACACAGGTTATTGTTTGGTTAAATTAAGCTCCTGCATGATACTGACTCCTGGTCAAAGCATGAAACACCAATGTGTGGATCTCTATGTAATCAAGGGTCCAGAATTCCAGCGCAGCGGGACCCCGCTTGGCAGTATTATTTATTAATAACAATGAGATTGAAGAGTTGCACCTGGTCCTGGTGTGCTGCTGCCCAGTCCCCACCCCAGGGTTCCGCAGCAGGGATAGACCTAGGTGACCAGCAAAATATAAACCACCTCAGCAAAAACTTCATTTTAGGCTCCCTTATTCCAAAGTGTTCTGTGCACACATCAGTGGTTCCCGACCCACAAGACATCTGGTCTGGCCCTTCTAGAAAGACAAGGGGGGGGCATGTGCTTCGGTGTAGATGCTGACTCTCCATTCCCTCTCCAGCCCTTTCCCTGTAATAAATGGGTGGTTTGTGAGCATTGTCACCCGGGTCCCGGGCGTCTTCTCCGGCAATTGAACTCTGTGGAGGTGCCACCGTTAGCGCACTTTCTGGTCCACTTCTGTACGTGTTCCCGGGCACCAGGGGACAAAAGGGCATATTGTCCAGTGTACGTGTTTATGTCCAGGAAGCTATTAAATAAGACTCACTAATTGTGTTATTAAGTGAACCTCTATCCTTCATATTTTGGCCTGATACGATTTCAATACCATTTTATTCTGGGTTTTGGTCTCAAGTTCTATTCATTTAACTATTTTGGTCTTTAGTTTCCCTTCATTTTGTCTGTTTTGCACTTTTCCCACTCTTTTGCATAGTATTTTATTTTATTATTTTAAAAAGATTTTTTAAGGTTTTTTATGCATACAAGAACTGGGGTGCAGGCGAGAGGTGTGGGGAAGGCGGTGAGAAGATTCACCAGAGAAAGAGTGGAGAACAGAACAGGCAGATTTACTGAAACACACTGCTGAGGGGAGCAGTGGGCGAGGCAGGAGAGGTCCGCTGCTCCATGTGGGTCAGCTCCCTGGCCGGCTGGGGATCGAACTCATGCTGCAGTAGCTCCCAATATCTTCATAGTGCTAAGACTTAACCTCTTGTGCCACCAGGGAACCCCCATTGTGAAATTATTTTAAATAACATAGGATAGATTTTTTTTAATCCAATCTGGGAATTTTATTTTTAAATATGGGAGTAAGTGTCATTGATATTTAACATTAAAACAAGCATTTTTAGTTTATGGCGCTTTATTTGTTTCTGTGCTTTTTTTAAAAAAAAAGATTTATTTATTTATTTATTTATTTATACAAGCACTGGGTACAGTCAGAAGCGCGGGAGGGTGAGAGGATTCACCAGAGCCAGAGCGGGGAACAGAACAGGCAGACAGAGGAGTACACTGAGGAGAGCAGCGGGTGGCAGGAGAGGTCTGCGCGCCATGTGGGACCCTCGCCCGGTGGCCGGGGATCGAACCGGCGCTGCAGAGGCTGCGGGCAGCTTTGCAACCCAGCGCTCAACCGCTGCGCCACTGGGGAGGCCCTGTGCTATTTTTTAAGGCTTCTTTGCTGTTTACTTTGCTTTATGTTTTTTTTCTCTTATGGGTACATGTTTTGCTTTTACCTTCTTCGTACTTTGGAAGGCATATATACTCCTTTTGAGGCTGTTAAGTATGACCTTTAAGCATTCTGTAGGCCTAGAGAAGGAGGTACACAAGATTGCTCTAACACCAAAGGACTCGGGACCCAATTTCCTGCTAGTCACAGATGGGATAATTTGAGACTCAATCGAGATAACTGCAGTGGATCAAAACACATCAAATAGATTGGAATCCATGAGTTCATATCACAAAAACAAAAAAACCCTTACTATTTACCTTTAAAGAAGAAAAAAACAATTGTTTTCCTTGAGAAGACTTGATGGCAGGAGCTATATTTGGAAAGCTGCTGAAGAAGATATATAAGCAGAACAAAGAAAAAACATTCTGTATCCTATATTTCTTAAATTACCAAAAAATTTTATAATGAAATAATAGTCTTTAAGTTCTTCTGAGTGAGCCAGGTTGAGCTCACCTTTATTTTCCTCTCTGTCCTCTTGTTAATAAAACCTTAGATTGAGATACAGATTTATCATTTAGACTTTTAAAAACTAACTTTGTAGTTTTTACAGTTTTCCCCTTGTTTTTAATTCTATTTTTTAACTCTTGTTATTGTGGCATATATATATTTTTAAAGATTTATTTATTTATGCATACAAGAGCTGGGGTACAGGCCAGAGATGCGGGGGGCGGGGTGAGAGGATCCACCAGAGACAGAGCGGGGAACAGAACAGCAGACTGACCGAAACACACTGCTGAGGGGAGCAGCGGGCGAGACAGGAGAAGTCTGCCTCGCCATGTGGGTTTCTCCCTGGCCGCGGGGATTGAACTCCTACTGCAGAGGCTATGGATTGCTTCATAGTGCAGTGCATAACCCCTTGCACCACCAGGGAGGCCCTGTGGCATATATTTCTATTAAAATTTTTTTGAAGAAGGCATAGATAAAATGCTTTTGAACCCTAGCAATTCACTGTGTGGGCTCAGATGTCAGATTGCCCAGGCGCCATCGAGGCTCTGACAGGAGTTACCTAACCTCTCTGGGCTTCTTTCCTCATCTGCAAAATGAAGATTGCAAGAATTCCTGACTTGAAGGGCTGTTGGTGGAGTGAATGACCCTGTACCTACAAAGCAATTAGAACTGTGCCTGTCAACAGTGGGTGCTTGGTATTTGTTAGCTGTCCTGGTGAAAGACCATCAGGCAGAGTGGACCATGGACGACCGACCATAAGGCTGTTGCTCCGGTGTCTTCTGAAAGCTGACGTGACAGAGAAGTCTGAAACAAAACTGACCCTGCTGTCTTCCGGGCTAGCGCTTAAGAGCTCTGGGCAGACTGTCTTGGTCACACTGGCTCCCCAGCTCACACAGCATGTGGGACCTTGGGCAAGCGACTTGACCTCTGCTCCTTGCTGGCATGCGTGAAGAGGGGCAACTCGTAGACCTCCCCGTCATGGACTCTGTGCATTTGTCGGCCAAACCAGCCTTCCTCGCCTTTGTTTGTTTCTATTTTCTACGCCAGCCTTTCCATTCTGGAGGAAACTTCTAATCATGGTCTCCCCAGTCACCGGCCAATGAATGCTCTTACTCCATTCTCTTGGCTGCCGTGCTCAGTCCAGGTGTTGGGCCCAGACTGTAAAGACAGTCGAAGTCTGTCAGCGGTGAAACCAGGAGAGAGACTCCCTGGCTTCTGGATTACTGGGTTAGGATAATGTGAGCTGGGAGCTGCCCGCCCAGGCCTGGAGGAAGCCTGTCCGCAGCGGGAGAAGCTCCCGGGCCTGGAGAGCCCGCGTGGCAGGAAGGGGTGCGCAGGCAGCGGCCGAGCAAAGGGATCCTGGCAGGGTGGCTGGAGCTCCTGTACCCAGTCGACGGGAAGGCCAGCGCCGCCACTTGACGGGGCCGCGGTGAGGGTTGGCTGAGAGAATTCGTGGAAAGCACCAGGCAGCTTGCGGAGCACAGCCAGTCCTCACTACATGAGGATTTGCTGTCTCCTGTCTTCATGCCTGAAGGAGATTCCCCCCTTGTCGTCAAAAATGGTGGCCAATGTGTCTATGTGAAGAAAGTTAATTTTCCTGAAAGGTGGTAAGTTCTTTCTGTGTGTTGATACAGAGCTTCCTAAAATTTCAGAAAATCTTTTTCTAAAATCCCTTTCACTACTCGTCTCTAGGCGTGCACGGCAAGGGTCCGTGTGATGGTGTCCGTCGTTCTCCACGTCTGTCTGCCCTCATCATTCCCTCTCCTCGCCTCTGCGTGTTGAGCTCGTGGGGTGAGGCCACGGCTGAGAGTATCAGCTCCACTAACAGTTGACCTCTTGTTCTTCTCTCAGCCCTGCTGGGCCAGATAAGCCGGGGGCGGGGTGGGGGGAACTCTAGGCCACTGGCTGCCCCAAGCTCGGCTCCTTCATATGGTTCAGCAGAAGGACGTGTGTCTCCACTTCCCGGCCCTGGTCTTTGTAGCAGCAGTGCTGGCAGGTGACAGACTGACTTCTCAGGGACAGACTTCGGCAAGGTCAGCAGGAGAGTGACAGCTCTGCGGGCTCCCAGAAACCCTGTGGCGTCAGCCTTGTTGGAAATGCAGAATCTCAGGCCCCATCCTGGACCCACGAATCAGAAGGCCCATTTTCACAACATCCCTGGGGGTCTTGTGTGCATATCAAGGTTTGAGAAACTGCTCCAGAGCAAAGACTCAGTTTAACCCTCTTGTTCATAGCCCATTTTCGGGGGTCTACTTGTGAAGTCATTTTGTACAGAGAAAGGCTTTCCAAACGCCTCACCAGCCAGATCACGTCATGCTCTTACTCTCTTTTCCGTTACTTCATTTTCTTGTTTTAAAAAAAGAATTATTTATGCAGACAAGATCTGGGGTACAGGCCAGAGGTATGGGGATGAGAGGACTCACCAGAGACAAGAGTGGAGAGCAGAACAGGCAGATGGACTGAAATACACTGCTGAGGGGAGCAGCGGGCAAGACAGGAGAGGTCTGCTGTGCCATGTGGGTTGCTCCCTGGCCAGGGATCGAATTCATGCTGCAGTGGCTGGCAATAGCTTGATAGCGCCATGTCTTTAACCCCTGAGCCACCAGGGAGCCCCCATTACTTCATTTTCATGTGACTGTTACCTCAGTATAATGCTATTACCATAAAGTGGGGCCGCCAGTCGAGGGCACCTACTCGTCTTGTGTGTGCAATCCACACTTTATTAAAACCTTAAGCCTATTTAGTCTCTCTTGCTGTGTTCTTGGCTCTCCTCACCTTTTTGAGAATTCCAAAACTTGCCATAGTTGTCAACAGCGTCTGTTTGTTCTTGTCTTCATAAGAGCTGAATGATTTAACTGCTTTTTCCTGAGTTTAGTGACTCAACTTGATTTCACTCACTAGCCTTGAGATGCTTCCTTTTTCCAACATAGTATCATTATTGCCCACCCAACAGTAGCAAAATATTAATGATTAATAATCTCACTTTATTCTGACCAAACTCTATAAGGTTAGTAAGGTTGGTTGCCACCTGGTACCCTGGTGGCACCAGGGTTAAGTTGCAGCACTATCAAGCTGTCACCAGCCACCATGGCCTGAGTTCCATCCCTGGCCAGGGAGCTGACCCACAGGGAGCAGCAGACCCTTCCTGTCTTGCCAACTGCTCCCCTCAGCAGTGTATTTCAGTAGATCTGCCTGTTTTGCTCACCACCCTGTGTCTGGTGAATCCTCTCACCCCCTGCATCCCTGGCCTATACCCCAGTTCTTGTATGCATACATAAAAATAAATCTTAAAAAAAAAACACCAAAGTATCTGTAACAGCAGGTGACTGTTCCAAGTGTGACTTCCGCTCTCAGCTCCTCCCAGTGACCTTGAACTCCTCGCAAGCCCTGAGGTCTAATGAAACTGCGGTCATGTTATTCACCCCCTAAATCGCCCTTCTGCTCATCTTTCCATCATGATGAATGGCATCATCCTGCGCCCTGTGGCTAAATCAGACTCCGACTTGTTTGGGGCCATCCCTTCTGGGCACCTCCTCCGCTCAGCCCCCCACTGAGTTCTGCCAGCCGTAACCTCTGGAGCACATCCTAAGTCCATTTACTTCTCTGGTGCAGCGTCAAGGCTCCCCATGGCCCCAGCCCCCTTGGTGAGTGTCCCCTCCCACCCTTACCCCCCTACAAGCACCAGAAAATCTTTCACCTTAAACCACACCAGCCACTTACCTAGAACCCTTCGATGTCTTCCCATTTTCCTTAGAACAAAACGCAAACGCCTCACTGGGCCTTGGGATTCGTTGGCCTGGTGTGATCTGGCCCAGGACCTCTCCTGTCTCATCTTGTGTTACAGTCACCACCTTCTTCCCCTCAGTCCGAGGCCCTGGTCTTCTCTCGCCTCTCTGCTGCCCAGTGCTTTTCTGCAGCAGCGCTTCACACTCCTGCCCACTCTCTGCTCTTAGTCTTGTCTCCCTCAGCCTTTCTGGCTACATGTGTGTGTATGCGGCGTGTGTGCCTTCTTTAGAGACCTCCCTAGCCTTCCCGTCAGAACTGGCTCCTCCCTGGCGGTCTCTCCAGCGCTGGTCTGCTCTGGGGCAGTCGTGAGGGGCCAGCGTCTGTTCACTCTGTGCCAGGGTGTGATGACTGCCTCACACTGAGGGTCGAGAATGTGAGGCATTTCGTTCCGACACCTGGCACGGTGACTGACACGCAGGAGTTGTTCGTGGGCATGTGGTGAAGAACTAAATCTTTTGGTCCTTTTCTTCTGCATTCTGGGAAAGCATCTCAAGGATGTCATTCACGTCAGTTGGTGAATTTCTACAAACACCCTTTCTGTTCTTTACTGGCTACCTATGGATTTTCATTCCTGTTTGTTTCCTTTGGAATTCTTTGAGTCTTTCTGTGAGTCAACTACCTTTCAACTTTGCTCTTCATCTTTTGCCTCCTGGGCACAAAGGTTATGATTATTTGCAATCCTTTGAAGATGCCAAATAGTTTGACTTTTTCTTCTGGCCCTGAAAGCAAGTAATTTTCCAGAAGTATTTCCTTTCTGTGAGTCTTCCAACCATACATTTTTATCCCAATGTCTTTGTTTGTAGACCTTAATTTGTTTTTCTCTTCAACCACACACAATAAGACCCTTGCGGTTTCAGTGTGTCAACAGAGGGCTGCCTTCGGTCCCAACTTGCAGCCTTTTAGGTAGTGGTTCCACCGTCTCAATGAATCTGCGGCTGGAAAAGTGCAGTGTTGATGGGCGCAGCTTCCAGTTCACGCTTCACCCTCTTTTTTTTTTTTAAGATTTTTTTTTTAATTTATTTATACAAGCACGGGGTACAGACCAGAGGCGTGGGAGGGTGAGAGAATCCACCAGAGACAGAATGGGGAGCAGAACAGGCAGAAGGACCGAAATACACTGCTGAGGGGAGCAGCGGGCGAGACAGGAGAGGTCTGCTGTGCCATGTGGGACTCTCCCTGGCTGGCCGGGAATCGAACCAGCGCCGCGGAGGCTGCGGACAGCTTCACAGTGCTGCGCTCAACCCGCTGTGCCACCAGGGAGGCCCATGCTTCACCTTCTAACAGGCTTTCCTTACTATACCTCCTTGTACTCTGGTCGCTATGGCCTTCCCCTCATTGTCTGCTCCAGTACTAGAAGCCGATGACAGTCAGTGGGAGAGGATACATTTTACATTTTACACCCCATCCAGCCTGCTCTTACTTCCTGACTACTGGGGTTCATCACAGGGGTCCTCTGTGTCCACATATAAATGTGAAAAGAGGGCCTCCCCGGTGGCGCAGCAGTTGAGCGCTGGGTTGCGAAGCTGCCCGCAGCCTCTGCAGCGCCGGTTCGATCCCCGGCTGCTCCCCGGCCACCGGAGGAGGGTCCCACATGGCGCGCAGACCTCTCCTGCCGCCCGCTGCTCCCCTCAGCAGTGTACTTCGGTCCTTCTGCCTGCTCTGTTCCCCGCTCTGGCTCTGGTGAATTCTCTCACCCTCCCGCGCTTCTGACTGTACCCAGTGCTTGTTTGTATGTATGTATGTATGTATGTATAAATCAATAAAAATCAATCAATCAATAAATCTTTTAAAAAAAATGTAAAAAGACAGTGGGTGGACTGGGGTGGGGGAGGAGGCAAAAGGGTTTTGAGATGAGGGGCAAAACTCAGGAATCCTGCCTCACAGGATTCCTCCTCGGTATCAAGAGCGCTGCGGGCCCAATCCTTTGGCTAGTGAAGGCCCGGATATCTGAGTCAGGACACAGCTGGTGGAGCAAGGAAAATGTAACTTAAAAAAATTTTTCTCCAGTTGCTCTTTCATGAAGAGAAGCCTGAATATTCCGTAAGGAAGAAGTATAGATCTACTTTTCTGTCTAACTCCATTTGCCTTAAATTATTTTCAAGGCTGCTCACAATTTTATATTATGTTGTCTATCAATCTCTTGTTATTTTAATGGGTTTTTAGTCTTTTCCTGTAAGGTCATGGGATATTTTAGTGAAAAGTTGTGAGGAATTTCTCTGGAGAGCTGTAAGATCCAATTTTTCTCTTATCCTCTTTCAACAAAGAAATCTGCAGATCCACAGAATATCATAAATATTACTTTTTTTTTTTTTTTGCTTAACATCTGCTCCCATAGCTCTGTCAGTGAGGAATTCATCATTCCCAAAGCATTCCATATGCTTTTCCACTCTGCATTTACCCATGCAATTTCCCCTGGCACAAATCCTCTTCATTTTTTGGCCTCTAGCAACTCAAGAACAGGATGTTTCGATCCTCCTCTTGTTTTTGAGCCTGAGGACACTGTGGGACTCCATGTTTGTGAGTACAAACATTCTAATCAGAATCATGCCAACATTGATGAAATTTTATGAAGAACATATTTTCTTGAGCAAACAAATCTATTTCATTATCTCCTATCAATTTCCTATATACTTCAGGTAAAATGTTTCTAATGTTATGTTTTTGTTTTACCAAAATTATATTCATCTGGAAAATTCTTAATCTTGTAAATGTCACCGCGAAGAATTATTTTAAATTTTGTCTAAATAAAGTGTTTTAAATTTTAACCTCTTACGAGTGAGCTTACTTTATGACAATTATGTCTACCAATTTCTTGTGGTGCAAATTTTGTGGGTCTAAATTTTTCTAAGAGGATGTGACTCTACTCAGAGTTTTGAGTCAATACAAACTGCAGCAGATAGTACATGGTGGCCCTTCCACACCCCCTTGTCACTCAACCTTCTGCACTTGAGAATGGTGGTTGGTTTCCAAGGGCAAAAGCCTGCAAGCCCCACCTGCAGGCTCTCTCTCAGCTGGCCACCGTGGGCCAAAAGTGCTGAGGAGTTAC